TAATAAATGTCAAACAATTGATTGCTCGCATCTCAAGCCTAATGGCATTTCATTGTTTATTCTTAAATGAATTTTATACAGAATATTGTACTGTAATATATATTTAAATTCTATAAAATACATATTTAATTCATAATTCATTCATATTTTAATAACTAATCTAACTAAAAGATTAAGTAATTTCAATAAATATTTCAAAAAATAATAATACTGAAGCGAGTAAATGAACAGTAATAGGGTTATTTTATTTAAGAAATATATTAACTGTAAATGTAATAAATTTCTATTCTGTAAATATAATACATCAAATAAACAAAATGACTATTTAATACAGTATATCGTATTTTCACAATTTTGTTTTTATGATTGTGTCACATTTGATACAAATTAACAAGCATATAAACCAACAAGAATTACTACTGATTCTTTGCACTCAATTCAAAGTTATGTAATAATACATAAAAGGAAATTAGATTCCTACAAATCAAATAAAATATAACATTATTTCAGTTTATTTCACATTAAATTATAACAAATTCCTATAAAATAATTGTATAAATGAATTGCCAACAAAGAATAATATGATTTGAGTTAATGAAATAAGCATATTAATAGTGATTAAATAGTCCATTTATGTCGTAAAATCATAATTACAAACAGAAATGTCTATTTTTATTATAGTTAAATTAATATTATAGAATGAAAATCCCTAATAAATATAAATAAAATCTAAACAGCATTCATAAACAATACAAAGAGATCAATAATTAAATCATACAATTTTGAAAAATTGTATAACTAAAATAATGAAAAATATATAATAAAAATATACGGAACATAAGCTACACATATATATTTGCACATATTTTTCATAATATATGATGGAATTTAACAGAATTTAACAAATTTTCAATATTAAAATAGTTTTCTACGAATAAAGGATGAGTAGGAAATAACAAGAATTTATATAGAGTAAATAGTAAATGCATTAAATTATTAATATATTGGTTTAAATATATACAATCAATCAAATTTAGCTAAATTATAAAATAAAATACTGTACATTGATTGATTATTAATTCATATCTAATATGAATTTAAATGACAGGAAACACAAGTAACTAATTGAATGACTTAATATTTACACAAATGAATTGATAGATACAATGGACGGACAAAAGCCAACCGCGCGGACCAATAGATCAAACAGCGCTTCATTACTTACAGTGCCGTCTGAGAGGTACGGCTCGGGACTCAATAAGAGGAGTACTTCAGGAATCAAATTCAATGAGATTTTGTTTGAAGAAGAGTCAGATGTAATCAAAAGTTGTTTTGAAATATCGTCCGCTGTTTTGGGTCTAATGAAGAGTTTCTCGACTTCAGACATATGCAGTCTGAACGACATGTCTGTCCAATCGGCAGCTCTGAGACAGAGCTCGTCGGAAGTGTTACTGTTTGGAGGCGTGAGTCGTCTGGAACTGCCAAACCTGCGACGACTCGACTATACGTCCCGGTCGTGTTCAACGTGGGTCAACCTCGGAGACCCTGTCCTCTCCACTTCACAGCTTCCGTCACCTCAGGCACAGTCGGCCAAACAGCTCGAGTCGCCCACCATTTCCAGCGTCGAGTTCATCAAATCAGTCAATAAGAAAGTGAGACAAATGTATTTACGGCGACGACTCCGAGCTATTGGACGCCTGTATAACAGTTGCCAAATGAACAGTCAAACGGGTGGTACGGGTGGGTCCCCACTCACCTCTTCGGCCGCAAACACTAAGCCATTGGAATCGTTAGACAAAAGCAAATCTAATACTAAAGACAGTGTCGTAGCGAACGTACAAACAGTGAGTGAGAGTTCAGCCCTCAAAGGGGTCCGCAATTCCTTTGATTTGGTGGACCTGTGCTTCCGGTCGGTCGACGGATCACTCACTCTCACCGTCAAAGACATCGAAAGAGACAAAGGAAAGCCTCTCTCCAAATATGAACGAAATATAATGATCTTTAATTGGCTTCAAAACGTAGACGAAGACCATGAAGACCAACAAATCGACTCACAATAAGTGTCACAATATGTGTCAACCACTGTCTCCTCAATAATAAGCATTTCTGTTATCAATGCATTTCATTGACCGATAAAATTAAATATGAATATTTCGTTGTGTTAACTACAAAATGCATTTCCAATACAATTATGTTTGACTATTAAGTGAATGCTATTAAACTGATTGCAATTTTTGTAAACATGTTTGCAAATCAAGTGATAAAATAAAATGTTTCTAATTCCAAAAAGTTGTGCAAAAATGTATATTATTAACATTTTAACAAATTATTAGATTAAATATTTAAATTCAAATAACTTTTAATGCATGTGTTAAAAGTTTTGTTAATTACTGTACATTCTAACCAAAAATTAATGTAAATAAAAAATTGTTTTAACAATTTAAATAAAAAATATTATCATAAACCTAAGTCCATAATATGGAGTCCATATACTGTATAATAAACTTTTGCATTTCTAGTCTAAGTAATCTAGCATAAGTAGGAAATATTTTCAATACTGTATTTAGATTATCCGATTATAAGTTATGCAGTGCTGTACATATGAACACAGTGATCATGCACTTATTAATACATGTATAGTTGAACACATGAATAGTGGTTGAAGCTAGGTCAAGTTAGAATTTACACGCGGTTCCAATTTGGAAATTACTTCTAACTTATCAAGGTAAGTTAGTTATTAGCAGTAATTGTTTATAATAAACTCATTTGCGAAAATGTAATCTCATTTAAATATGATCAGTTATACGGGTATAGCATATGATATAAGAATGATACAGGTCATTTATAAATGTAAGTGATCAAAGTAAGTCAACTTATGCCTCATAAATGTAATCATAAGAAATGGTGAGACAATGCACTCACGAGTTGGACATCGACTGTGTATTGGACTCAAGCAATGGACTCATGGAGTGAATGAAGTGATCCTCAATTCAATAGCAATTGTCGTCACAATCGATGAAATAGTGATCGAAATGATGGTTAAGAAGTGAAACAAAACACAAACCATTGGAAGCGATGTCTGAGTGGAGACTCCCAGCGAGTGATCACTGAATTACATGTCATTTGCTTTCAATTCATTTGTTTTGGATTTAATTCATTTGGAAATCCATTCACTCTTTTAAAGCAATTATTTATTTAAACCACAAATCATTGTCTCATCCCTTCATTGATCCACAGATTGTCTTCATATGAACTAATGATGTGTGAAGTGAGTGAAGAAGTGCTCATCAAATCAATCAGAGGTGAGTGTGCGGTCAATGTGCCGATGGTTTGTCTTAATTGTATTGATTGTGTGTATCGTATGATGGCATCGATGGTCAGAAATCCTGGTCTCCGCCGATCTTAATGTCATGACATCGAAGCTCGTGAGGAATGAACTCAAGAATCGGTTGAATGTCGAGGACTTGGATTCGCGTAAAAAGCAAATCAATTCAATCATCACTGATGTGATCAATGAATTGAATGAAAGAAGTAGTGATAAGACGTTCGTGAAGGAAGAAGTTGTGGTTAAGAGAGAAGACATTGTGGTTAAGAGGGAAGACATTTCGGGCACCAAAGGGAAGGACGAGTCGGACACGAGTAGTGATAGTAGTAGTGATGACGACAGCCCTGTCAGTGACGGCGATTTGGCCCGAAAGCTGCACAACGAGGAGTTGGACTCCAAGCGAAGAGTCACTCGTAATAACAGTTCCCACACCAAGAAGTCTTCGGTGAAAAAGACCAAAAAACGCAAAACGAAATACAATTCTGAAGACGACAAGAAGCCTAAAAAGCAAAAGAATGGATATTTAAAGCCTTGTGTATTGTCTACAGATTTGGCCGACTTTTTAGGGGAACCGGAGGTAAACCATAAAAACATGAAATTGATAATTAAGACCGTAATAGACAACTATAAGATTTTAGCTTATTTACTACCAGTATATTTAAGTATTACTGTAATATAACATACATTAAGTTATCTATATTTTACATTCATTATTGTATAATACATTCAACAAATATTGTGTTTTGTTTTCATTAATGTTTATACGGATATTGAATATATTTTTGAGTTAAAAATTAAACAACAATTACTTAATAGAATAGTTAGTTGTGTGTAGTCTAATACTACAGTATTACTCGGGTTATGAAATATCTACATTAGACTTATACCGTAGATATACTGGTATACCGTATATATTGGTAGTCTAGTAAAAGTGAATACAATATCATAAATGTTTACCTAACATGTACTTAATGTTATGTATTGTTAAATGAGAGAATAACCATTCACTTAGACTTACCATAGATTTTAATATCGAATAGACATGAATGTGAGTTAAAATATTCTGTGAAGTATACGTTACCTTGTTTGTTAATGAGTCCATTCTATCAGTTGTCATTTTGTGAGATTACATACATATATACAATTAGCGGTATACATTTGTAGACCAATTGGTATTTCAATTAATTTTATTATTTTTTTCATAATTTCAAACACATTAAATGTGTGCATAAATTATATAATCAAACAATTTCTTATTTATGAACATTATCTACAATTGGATTAATTATATCGGATCGCATTATAGCATTATATATACAAACAATTATTTAATTTATATAATATGTACTGTTATTATTAATGTTAATAATAATTGCTTTGATTGATTGGCTGCGAAGATGCCGCGACACGAAGTGGTCAAACGGATCTGGACTTATGTCAAAGAGAATAATCTTCAGGTAAGCAATGAGTGATTGCTTTGTTTTGTGCGTCCATTTCAGTAGTCCGAGCCTTCAAGTGCTCTGCGAATGCATTGCATTTGAATTTGTTTGATATATAATTATATATTAAAATGTCTTCTCTTTGACATGACTTCCAAGGATCCCAAGAACAAGCAGTTCGCCATCTGTGACAACCAATTAACCAAAATCTTCTCCGGTCAGTATCTCGTGGTTTTGTATTCATTTAACAAATGGTTTACTTCATGGTTATCATTACGACTAACACTTTGATAACACTTCACACCGAATGTGACATTCATTTGTCATTTGTTTCATATATTTAAAAATAGTATTTTTGTGCGAATACTCATTACTTTACAATTTTTGCCCATTTTTTCTATTAATTTACAATCACTTCACTTCACTTTAAATGTAGCTTTTGTCTCATTTCATCCAAACAAATATTTTATGATTTTTGGAAAACACTTCCATTTCTTTAACTATGTTTTGGATTATTATCTAACAAATTGTTAATTCATTTAATTCATGTTAAAAATATAGTCTCGAATCGATTCAAACGATATGATAGTTGTGTTGAATTCAATGAATTAAGAGTTTGTTGAATAATTTCATGTACATTACAATAACAATAGAATTAATGTGTGTTTTGTATGAATTTGTATGATTTGTATGATTAGGTCGGAAGCGAATCCGTATGTTCGGAATGATGAAGATTTTGTCCAAACATCTCAACTGACAACTCGTTTCCGACTTATTTTCATCCAAACATTTAATTATCGCTATATTTCAACGTTTCGTCACAATTAAAGCGATCGAAACGACTCATCACTCAATCAATTTCGACACACTTTTGATTTCGTTGAATATCAATAAAAATTATGAATTTTGTGAAAATATAGCAAATAATTAAATATTAGACAAAGTTATTGATATTATTTTATATATTATATATAACAGAGTAAAAGACGATTTTTTGTAATGTTTGAACATTTTTATATATTTTTTGTTTCATCAGAAGCTGTGGCGAAACATATAATACATGCGCTCTAATGATGTATTACTCCTAATAAACCTTATTTTACAACTAATTAATACTTCGAATGTATTTATAAATTGTTACTAAATATTAGAAATAAAAGTAAC